ATATATATAAATACATACACTTAAAGAGAAATTTATTTACTCTTAAAATAACTCGTAAGTTCGATCAAATTTTAATAATTTAATTATTTAATTAAAAATTCTTAATACATAAATCAAGTCTATAAATTTTTAAAAAATTTAAAAGTCATTTAATACTTCATTTAATTAATTTAAATTGATAGATAATTATAAAAATATTTTGCACGTTGATTTTAAATTTATATAACGAAACATCATATGATTTTTTAAATTTTTTTTAAAATTTACAAATTTAATTTATTCATTAAGAATTCTTAATTCGACAGTTGAATCGTTAAAATTTGAAGTAGAACATGAGTTATTATGTGAAGTAAGTTTAACAAAACTTACTCTTGAAGTAATTTTTAAATATAGTAAAAGTTTGTTAACTTGATTTATTTATTAAAAAATATTAATTCAACAATTAAATTATTGAAATTCAATGTAAAACATGAGTTATTGAGTTGAATAATTTTATCAAGACTTACTCTAAGTGAATCCTTTCTCATATATGTGTTTGTGTTTTCATTAAAGATATCCTCCAATTGATAGTTGAAAACTATATTTTTTCAAAACGAATAGATCATCCAAGTATATGTTTTTATGTTATTTAATAAAGTCTTATTCATATGCATAATTTGAAAATCACTATTACTATATGTTTAACTATCCATCAATTATAATAAATATGGTGCATCGGTTTGAAAACAACTTTCTACGGAAAGCAACTCGTGATTTTAATTAATTATTTTTTTTGAATGAAGTAGAAAAATTGATGTGATAAGTTGGATCAGTCCCTACAGAACTAAAGTAGTATTTTCAATTGTAATTTCAACTAAAATCAATTTCAATCTTTAATTAAAAAATAGAAATATTAAACTACTTTGAATTAATGATTTTTTAATATGTTTAAATATAATAGTAACATCTGTTTTTAACATTATTAATTGATTATCATTGTATTTTCGGTTATTTTTAAGAGTCTATTGATGTGAGATACTTTTTTGCTTTTTTTTTTTTGGAAATACATTTTTTTTCCCCAAACCCAAGTACTTGTTTTGAAATTCTGCCTTAGAAAGGAAAAAGAAAAATGTAATACTTGAAACAGGTGTTTGTCATTCTATTCAACAATACTTATCCAACCATGCTTCTGGATCTCCACGTTCCATCCATGCTACATTGATGGAACATAAAAGAGTATTTATTTTTCTTCCTTAATAATCACACAAACATAAATAGCAATATTAAGGATGTACAAGATATATACTCGAATCCGAATATCCCTGATAACATACTTTTACAAACTAGTTTCATTCATCAAGGAGGACAAAAACATTATAAAAATAATAGAGAAAACGGATAAATTATTAGTTTAAAATCACATTATTTTTCATTAGTCTATCATAACATGCAATTAAAATATTATTAATCTTTTTCTAAAATTAAAAACTTAAATATTTTTCATGAAAATGTTAATTGAGATCATGAACACTTGATATTCTTGAATTACATAATAATTTTTCATTAAAGAAAAATACAATGTCTCTCTGTATTATTTTAAAATAAAAGAAGGAGAAAGAATGAAGGTTAAAATTAAAAAAAATAAATAAAAAAAGATGCGTGCATTTTTTTCTTCTTCTATTTATCACTTGATAATTTATAATAATTCACACTTCTTAACCTGTCAAACTCGATCATATATATATATATATATATATATAT